CTTCCACTGTTGACCACAAGCAGTTTGTTGCTCACCTTTGTTATCCTGCAGTGCGTGTCAGCTGAAAGACTGATACTGGCAGTAGTAGTAGGTCACACTTAGGGAGCCCTGGTTTTCTGGCTTCCTCAGTGTGCAGCTGTAGTGCGTATCATCAAATCACAGAATGGTTGAGGTTGGAAGATGCCTCTGGAGGTCATTTGGGCCAATGCCTCTGCTCAGGCAGGGTCACCTAGAGCCAGTTGCTCAGGATTGTATGCAGATGGATGTTGAGTATCTCCAAGGATGGAGACTCCACAACCTCTCTGGGCAACCTGTGCCAGTGCTTGGTCACCCTCACAGTAAAAAAAGTTTTCCTGATGTTCAGAGGGAATTTTCTGTGTTTCAGTTTGTACCCATTGGCACTGGTCCTGTCACTGGGCACCACTGAAAAGAGCCTGGCTCCCTTTTCTGTATACCCTCCCTTTAGGTATTTCTATGCATTGGTTTGATCCCCCTGAGGCTTCTCTAAGCTAAACAGACCTGAATGTGTCAGCCTTTCCTCATATGAGAGGTGCTTCAAACAGTTATTTTAGTGGCCCTTCACTGGACTTTCCATTATGTCCATGTCTCTCTTGTACTGGGCAGCCCAGAGCTGGACACAGTGCTCCTCAGCCAGGTGAGACACATGTAGAGCCCTTGATCTGCTGGCAACACTCCTCCAAATGCAGCCCAGGATACCACTAACCTTCTTTGCCTCAAGGGCCAATTGGCTCGCTGTCAACTTGATGTCCAACAAGAGCCCCAGGTTCTTTTCTGCCAAGCTACTATCCAGTCAGTTGGCCCCAGCATGTGTTAATGCATGGGGTTGTTCCTCCCCAGGGACAGGATTTTGCTCTTGACTTTGAACTACATGACTAGAAGGGAGATGACAATTTGTTGTGTGAAGTTATATGTTAATACCAAAACTACTGGAGTTAGCTGTCTGCCCCTTTCCATTTAAGAAATGCTGATAAAGTTATTGAAAAGAGGTGGTGTCTGTAGTGTTGGCTTCTAGGAGGGGGACACTGAGAACTGTGTTCGAGCCTGTTGCTAGCTTTACCTACTGGTGTCATGCTCTTCAGGTGATAATGGCAATAGATTACTGACAGTGATTGTTTATTTGGTCTTGGAGACTTTAATAGGATAGATGCACATAGTTAAAAGAAAGGGCTTACATATATCTAATCCTGCACTGTGGCAGAACTGTGGAATAAAGGACCTTTTGAGTCCTATGCAGACTTTTTGGTGAAAACGATTGTACTTTCATGTACACTGATATTTTAGTCTAATTTCCTCGAGATGTACTTCTGCTAGACTTTGAGTTCAGATGTTTGTGTTCAAGTTGCGTCTTTGAGTCATTAGCATTTGGGCAGCGGTTTGTGGAAGTTTTCCAACTAGCGGCTTCTTATAAACAACTGTCTCTCCTGCCAATAGCAGACTTGATCTCTCTCCCATTCCCCAAGAAAGGTAATGTTCAGATAAACTGGAGTACATTAACACATTTCCTCTCTTTGGACTCTGGCTTCTTACTATCTTGGTGAATCTATGTGTAAACACTACTGAAATTACTGGGATTTTGCTTGTGACAGCTTTTCTGAACCTGAGTGTGTGAGGTTGGTTTTTTTTCAAAGCACCAGCAGAAGCAGTAATCTAGTTTGTGCTTAAATCTACAAGAATAGAAGGCACGAGGAAGGCAACTGTATTGCAACTGTGGAGTTCACTTTTAAAATATAGCCATTAGAAGAAATCTGGGAGTGAGCATGGAAAAATGTTTGGGCTCTGATCCTGTATTTGTATTTGTGGAGTGGATCACTTACAGGCTTTGTTGACAGGGATCTAGAGAGTTGCATAAATCTGCACTGTTGGGTCAGACTGGGGGATTGGGGTCACGGTTCTCTAATAGTGTCTTTAGAGATGCTTTTGTGCAGAATTCTGAAATATGCAAAAATATTCTAGTAGCATCACAAACTTTATTGCTTAGTTGGTTTGTGGTGTTTTTTTTTTCTTTTAAATCTGTGCACAAGTGTGGCTTAAGGAAGGAAGATGAAGAGAGATGAACCTGTGAATTACATAATCCAAGAGTAGATTTAGTCGTTGCAATTCTTACATAACTTTGAGGATAATGATACAGGAGGACCTCTTCTGTTCAAAAGCTAAACAACTTTTCAGTCATGGAGAGGAAGTAATAATTTTTTGCTAAAGCTTTACTGCAGTGACTTACTGTATGATACAGGAGTCTTTGCTTTGTTAGAAAACACTCCTGCAAACAAGCTAGCTACACTAGATGTTTTTTGGAGGACGGTGCTCTTCTAACTTGATATCCTAGAACTTTAGCAAACTTGTTCCCACAAAGCCTCACAGATAACTAACCTAGAGTAAGTCAGTAGCAGAATAGGAAGCTGCACTGAGAGTCGGAGTCCTTCATGCTTAATCTTAAAGGTAGTAAGACAAGTTTACAATACTATTTCAAATATTTCTGTATATTTATCCTGTGGAGATGTGTACTCCTTAAAATTACCTTTTATGGATCTTGTGCTTCCAGAGCAGCTCATAGTGTGTCAGTTGTTAAGGGACAGAAAGCTCTGTGTTCATGTTTATATTCAGTGAGTCTGAAGCAAATAATGTTACAATATTCCTTCATTTTTTTAATAGCTTTTGGATAAAAAGCAGAAGAATTAAACAGTTGACTTTTAACAGATCCGAAATGGTAGATGTACTGCTTATCTCTAACATACAGAAATGTTTGCTGGCTGACCAACCCAGAACGAGCAATGCTGTAACACCTCTTCAAACTAGCAGCTAGTGATTTGCCTGTTTTATACAGATAATACTTTTTTAAATACGGTGAGCAATTAAATTGCAGTTGAGATAAAAAGGTTGTCATGTGGGCTGGGAGATTTTTGATTAGCAAGAGGAGAAAATGGCATTGGGAAGTGTTGGTTTGAGCCTGTGCATTGTTTGAAAACAAAACCTCATTTTTTTGAAAGGAAAACTGAAAAGCTTTTACTTGGATTGCTGTCTGCAGTTCTAAATGGTTGCCTTCATTATCAGTACTTGTAAAATTGCTTGTTCAGGAAGGCTTTAGAAAATAATTTCCCTGAAGAGGCACCAATGTAGCAAATGCAAATTAAAAAGAAAATAACTGACCTTTCAATATTATACATAGCAGAATAAGCAAAAAGCAGCGTGGGATGACATTCCACCTTTTCTCTGTTACTCTTAAGGTTTTTGGTTTGGGAGAAAGGGAGCTAAGAATTTTTGAATGTGTTTGTGTTTTTTGTTGTTGTTTTTCATATACAGTGCCATATCTCTTAAGATTTGGGTACATACAAATGAGTAGGCTAGTGGATCTGGTATCAGGAGACTGGAAAAAATAGCGCTATGATTATTTTTCTAATGAAAATCTTTGTGTGTAACAGAACTCCAAAAGACGAGGAGGATGGAGGGGATAGTATGTGTCTTGTTTTGATTTTGTTCAGCAGCCCATTCCCTCCCAAGACAGTGAATGACTTATCCTTATTGTGAGCTATACTTTTATTTATAATGCCTAGAAAAATTGATAATTTGAAATTGCATGTAAAAAAAAAAAAGTACTTTTAATGAAAGAAGTTCTGCTAGTCATTGTGTTTGATTATAAATGCAGACAAATCTAGTCTTCTCTGTCTTTCGGAGGAAAGGGAGAAGAGAGGTAGACCAGGGTCATGATTTTCCTCTATAATGTCATACCATTATTCTTTACTTTTTTACTACTTTCAGCTCCTATTTTCAAGGCTGCTTTGACAGTATTGGTAGACTGAGGGACGTTTTCTTTCTCCACAGTAATTCTGGGAATAGTGGATTTTTTCTTCCCTTCATCCTTTTTCTGTAGATGTAAAGCGATAGATCAGTTTCTTTTTGTGTAAACTAAACTAAACCAAACCTAACTTTAAATGTTGCATTTTAAATTTGGTTCAATTAAAAAGTGGGTTTTTTCCGTTGGGTGCTGAAACTTGACTAAATCACAAACTTTTAAGCAATACTGATATCTGATATTTTATTGCTGCACTTAATTGCCATCCCAGATACTACTTTATCTATAAAGCATCTTATTTTCAAACACCTTTGCATTGGTAAAGCACAATTCTAAACTAGTTCACACTAAGTGCTAGATAGTAGAGGAATAGGGTTGATTTCCTCTTATATTGAGGTTATTTCTTATAAGAGTTGTTCCTCTTTCTCTGAATTTTTCATTACTGTTGTAGTTTTTATTCGATGTATTTACTGAGGTATGTGGTGTCTGAATAACAGATCAAGCAGATCTTTATTATTCTGCTTAGTGCTTGATGTATATGCTGGAGCAAGCTGTTTATCCATAGTTGTGCAATGGAAATATGTTCAATACAGATGTTTATTTTGGACATTTGTGGGTTTTTTTCAGCAACACCTGTAAGTATTGTAGGCAGGTACTTGTGTGGCCATTAGTATATTGCTGTACATGAAGAATACTTCGCTCAAGCCAGATGACTGTTTGCTAACTCTGTGTCAGACACGTATCTTTTATTGTACAAGTTAATTTGGGATCTGGGTAAGAAGATCAGTGTTGCAGTGTGATTTATGAGATGCCAAGTAGCATGTTAGTATGGGCAGGAAAGTTAACTGACTATCATTGTTTACACTGTGGAGGAAGAGTAGGGAAGAGATTCATATCCATGATTAACTGCCTTCCCACTTGCACAGGCTCTGGACTTGGGTTCTGTGGATTTGCATCTCCGAAGGAGAGAAGCATTGCACTTTTACGAACTATAATTTTCATTACTATTTCTCGAAAACCCTACTAGTTTCATAAATACTGCTTTTCTTTTCATAAAGTTGAAGAAACCTTGTGATAATGAAATCAACAAAATATGTCAGAAGCAATTACTGCCCCTGGAGTTACAACTTCTGAAGATAACTTTCTGTAGCGATCTTTCTCGATTCTAAACAATGTATTGTTTTATTTTTACAGATGACTATGGATGAGAAATATGTGAATAGCATTTGGGATCTCCTGAAAAATGCAATCCAAGAGATCCAGCGTAAGAACAATAGTGGTCTCAGTTTTGAGGAGCTGTATAGGAATGCGTATACAATGGTGTTGCATAAACATGGTGAAAAACTCTACACTGGACTAAGAGAAGTAGTCACTGAGCATCTAATAAACAAGGTATGTCATTTTATGAATTTTAAAATTGAAGTGTCTTATACGAAAGAATTCTGAATAGTTACTTAAATGACCAAAATCTAACTTTATTATGTTGCGTTGTGTTGAAATTGTATCGCTAACCTCAAAAATGGTAGCTTAGAGCTAACATCAAGCTTAAATGACTTTGTATTCCAGATACTGTTTGTTGTAAGTTACTGATGGAGGGTGGACCATAGGACATATTTGAAAATGTGTAACAGGAAACAACTTTAGCTGAAGCATAGCTGTTGAGGGCTGGGATTTTTTTTAAAAAGGTTTTTGGCATTTTGTGACTTTGTCAGAATGAATTTTGGTTTGTTTTCTGGTCGTTTTTTTCATCTGTGGAACAAAATAAATACCCATGTAAGAATATGTTTGTTATGGGCTAATGAACTAATTCACAAGTTAATGAGAGAGTTGTGCTAGGATTATGCTATTTAAAGAGACGTTAGGCAATGCGCGGAAACATCAGCTCAGCAGCAACAAAAGTCCTGAGTAGTCTGCATTCTATCATTCCAGCCTTTTCAAAACCATGTAGTTCAGTCAAAATGACATGCAGAAACTTCTCGTTTCTGAAGATGCATCATCTGAGAAAAGAGCTCTTAACATCTCATGTTAAACCATGGAACTGCCTCTTCAGTCTTTGCGACGAAAGTTTAGGATTGGTTAATAAGTATGTCATAGAACTAAAGTTAAAACTCATTTTTTATAAGTCTAGATAATATTTAATGGTAATAGAATCGTAAGAGTAGGGAAGATGCCTTCCTTACTCCTTGTGGTAACATCCATAGCTGCCTGTCTTTGGGAAGAGGTGCACGTCGGCTTTGATCCCATATACAGGCTGTGGGTCCAGATGGAGGATCAGATCTTTGTCCTGTTGTTACAGCATTTGAAAAGGAGTGTCATACACCATGGCGTGTCTTGGGTGATTACTTCTGGCTGAATTACAGAGAGTGGATGGGAGGTTTATGTCTAAATAACGCATAATGTTTGGGGTGGTTTTTGTGTATTCTGACTGACATTGCTGCTGTGGCAGAGAAATGTGTTATTTCTTGGTTTTAAAAATCTTACTTTTCAAAGGTGTGGTCCAGACAAACATAGTCTAAAACTGCTTTGAATATGGGGCTTATTTGCTGTTTGCACGAGAGGAAACATCCTGTATGAAGTGGCTAAATAATTTATGACTCTATTCCGTAATTGGAGCACGTCTGTGACTCGCAAACACTTCTGTTTTCATAATCTATGTACTCGTAATCTGTACTATTCATATAAATTGCAGCTGAGGCTTTTTGTCTTGTGCTTGTATATACCTGTATTTACAGTCTCTACTTAATAATAATCGTACCACTAAACTTTTATTCTTCCTAGGCTTGAGTTTAACCTGGTTTAATTTGAGGGAAGCTGCTTATCATTGTCCCTAGCTATTCTGCATGTTAAAAATTATCCATATGCAAAATTAATTATTCTGAAGTACTAATTGTGGCAAACTGACAAAACAGTAGATGATCCTGTGGGTTTGTACTATCACTGCAGTGGCTCAGAGGATTGCACAGATACCAGGGTAGAGAAATGCTTTTCTGACGCTTAATGTTATTGTATTTGATGCTTAAAGAAAATCTTCTCCAATAATCTAGTGTTCTGATCTTTAACATGATTAATCAAATTATGTCTACGTGTATGGGTAGCATAAAAGTATATGACCAAAAGTTTTTCAAATAAAAGGGCTAACTACTGAGTCTTAGTAGTGAAATACTGTAAAGTTAAAAAGGCTAAATTAATCAGATGTTTGATGATGCTGGCCTACAAATTAAATAATCCCAAGAAAAGATTAAAAAAAAAGAAAATATGTCTTCTATCAAAAAGTTCTGAACAATAAAGAAAACTTCTGTGTGCTCGAAGCTACTCCTTGTCCTTTTTGGTGGTTTGCTTAAGGATGTTATGTTGAGGCAGTTAGATGGAAGTATGGAAAAAATAGTGCATTGCTTATTGAGAATAGGATTAGTTTGGTAATGGCATCTTATGATTGTGCCATTAGTACTTGTAAGTCGATGAAAAGATGATTGTTTAACCTCACACTTCGTGTAACAGAAATTTTAGAGGAATCTTATATTTTCAGTGTCTCTCTCCAAGAGTAGTTGTTTGTTAAATGTTAAGTAACATTTAACATGCTCTCATCATGAGTCTTCATAAACTATTCAAGGTACAGTGGTGGATGCTAGAGTTTAGAAGGGGGCGATTTTGCCAACTGAAATGTTGTTCGTTAAATCTGTTAACTTTTATCAAAATGAAAATGTTGCGAAATGAATAGGTTACTTTACTAAAGGACTACACTCAGTTCAGCTAGTGCTTCTGCGGAGCCAAACCCATGCTTTGAATTCCTTGAAACAGAATTGCTTTTTACTGTCCATATCTGCTGGTTATCTTTTTTTTTATAAAAAAAGTTACATTCCTGTAGTATTCCAATCATGCTGGTTAATGAAGAATAGGTGAAGAGACTAGGTAGAGGCAGTGTATTTTTTCAGATGTTTTTACAAATAGTTTTCAAGCTTGGAAAGTATTATTTTTGCTGTGACACAGTTAAGAGCTGTATTTATACTTTATCATTATTTAATTGCTAGATGAAAGTTGTACTTACTCAGCATTTTTGTTTGAAAGAAACCAAACACTTTAAAGAAGAAAATTAACTTCTCCACAAAAAAAAGAAAAATACCATGTACTGTCTTTACAGCCTACTCAATTGTAAATAAAATGGTAGGTGCAAACATGATCAATACAAGATACAAGCATGCAAACAAGTTACTATAAAGTGTTCTTGGTTTTGAACTTGCAGACCGTAATGGCTGGTAGTTGCAGTCATCAGGTTCCGGCTGCTTGGTGAAGGCACTAGTAAGCCAGGTAGCTTACTCTGCATCATTGACAGGAGTCAGCTGTCTTGAACTGCCTTGATTTTACTACAGGGTAAGGATATGCTAAAACTTGTCTTTGTCTGTGTATTGACATCATTATTAAAGTATAGTACATGTAGAATTGAATTTAAAAGTACTTGTCCTGGTTTTAGCTGGGACAGAGTTAGCTCTTCTTTTTAGCAGCTAGAAGAGCTCCGTGTTTTGGTTTTACTTGGAGGCTCGCTCTGAGAAGAATGTTGATAGCAAGCTGATGTTTGTAGTTGGAAGTGAAACTCCAAGGACTTTTCAGTGTGCCGTGTTCTGGCCGGAGTGCAGAAGCACGGCGAGGTAAGGGGGGAGCACAGCCGGGGCAAGGGGGCCACGATTCTCCTTGTGATTTGTGGTGGAATTTAAGATTGAGGGCCAAACTGGCCAATTAGTATTCCATAGCATGCAGCATCACACCCAGTATAAAGGTGAGGGACAGCCGGAAAGAAGGGCTTTTGCGCTTTGGCTCTCTCGCCGCTTCTGCTCTCTTGCGCTTCTGCGCTTTTGCTCTATTGCCTTTTTTTCTCTCTCTCCCAGTACTCCTACTCTTGGAGTACTATCTCTCTCTGCCCCTCTCTATTTCGGGGCCTCGCGTTCGTCTGGGATTGCAGCTTTGGGATGAGACGGGCTTCACATAAGAGGGGGTGGTGAGCATCTATACTGTGTATTAAATCATCTGTATTAAATCGTTCTTATCTCAACCCATGAGTTTCCCATTTATCCTTTAATTCTCTCCCTCATCCCTGGGGCTGGGGGAGGGTGAGTGAGCGACTGTGTAGGGTTTGGTTGCCAGAGCGGCCTAACCCATGACGGTACTGTTGAGTAGGAAGTACTGAAACCTTTCATCTTAATTCAAGCATTTAATTCTTGTGCATCTGGTGCTTCATTGATTTCTTCCTTTCTTGTCGTTGGGCAATCTTGTAGCTTGATGTGGACAATCTTCCTTCACACTTCTCAAGCCTATTAATTCTTCATATAAATGTTGTAACAGTGTTTTTAAAAACCAAACACAAAGCTTAGTTTACAGCTCTCTAAACCATTTGATGATAGGCAACATCACTTCTGTTAGAATAAAAAATCTTGACATTAAAAACTTTGCAGGATAATATTTTTAAAGTTCCCTTTGTTTTTATGAACACTTCATAGTCTATTGAAGTCTAAACCCATGACCTGCAACATATCGTACACATTCTGTAAATTGTGTGCATGTGACAAAAGAATTGATCTGTTGGCCAAGCCCAGTATAGTTTGGTTTGTTTTTCTGTGCAGTGTACATCAGAGATTGAGAGATGTAAAGGACTGTCCTAAACTTAAATGGGCTGAAACATACTGGTTTGGAGAGATAATAGAGTGTTACTGAAAAGGCAGAGATGCTTGGGATATTCTCATGTCCTAATAGATTTGTTGGTCTTACTAAATGTTTCTATTACTATCTGTGGCTGGCATGCCAGAATGCCTTAACAATGTTGTGGCCTTGCTGATACGATTGGTGGAGTTCAGAAGCGACAGTACATGCTATTTCAGAAGCATGATAAAGGCAGGCATGCAAGAAAGCCTTTGGTAAGGGGGACACAGAGCCAGTCATTGTGGCAGTGTTGTTAAGTGCAGAAGGAATTGTATGGGTTGCTGGTGCAGAAGGTACGGGGTGAAGGAAGCATGTCTACTCTGGGGCTTATAAAGGCACGTCTAGGATTCTTGGTGAGCTTCTGCTGTTGTGGTGTCACAGAGAGAAGGGGAGGGAGAAGATGGGAATCTCCTACAGGGAGTTTGAAATTATTTCCATAACATCTGTTAAATAGGGAGGAATGACATAGAGTCATAGAATCATAGAATCGTTAGGGCTGGAAGGGACCTTCAAAGGTCATCTAGTCCAACCCCCCTGCAAGGAACAGGGATATCTCCAACTAGATCAGGTTGCTCAGGGCCTCATCCAACCGGGCCTTGAACGTCTCCAGGGATGGAGCATCCACCACCTCTCTGGGCAACCTGTTCCAGTGTTCTACAACTCTCATGGTAAAAAATTTTTTCCTAATATCCAACCTGAATCTACCTCCCTCTAATTTAAAACCATTACCGACATGAGGAATTGTGTGGGAGACAAATTAATTAGCGATCTTTAGAGTGTACTATAAGCCTGACTGACAATGTATGAAGTGTTAACTACCTTTCTTTCCTTAATGATGTTTTGAAAAGATATTGTGTGAGTCCGCAATTTTATGGAGGGCAAAAGGATGTGAGGGAATTGCCAGAAAGTAAATGCAATTCAGAATCACCAGTTCTTCAGTGTTGTTTTTTTCTTTCAGCAAGAGAAGAGGATAGCAGCTGCAGGGGTGAACAGGTGTTTCTGGTAAAGTCATAGTTGATCTGTTAACTCAGTTGGAACTTTTAAGATTCTAGAATACTAGCTTTTAGACTACTTGGACTTGTGTAGAAGATGAAGAAACTCTGTAATAAAAGTTCTGAGACCTTGAGGCCTTAGTTCAGAAAATGCTGTTCTATAATGCTGCTCCGCACAGAAGGTTCTGGCTGTCCTTACACTAGTGGAAGTTACATAATTAAACTATTTGTGCTGCTGCATCAGGCCAGGCACTTTAAGAGCAAAAATACTAAGCCATAAGTCTGCTTTGTGTACACTTAATAGAGAGTTATTTAAAGGTATTGAAAGCTTATGCCAACAAACTATTCTTAAGAGATTGGCAGAGGAGGGTGCTCTATTGCCTTAAGAGCTATATCCAGTGTAAAATACAGTGAGCCTGAAGTGATATACAAGACTTCATCCTTGCAGATAGAAGACCTTATGTAGATTAGGAAGCTGCTAATTTATCTTTGAGAGTGTGTATGGACAGTTCTATTTAAGCTGGATATGCCTGCCAGTTTACTGCATAACTGCAAAGGTTGTCCTAAAAATCACTACAAGCTCAGCTGATTGAAAGTAACATTCTGCTTATAAAAATCTGAGATTGAAATTTTCTTAAGGC